CACCTCTGTGTACTGAGAGACTATGCGATTACCCTGTCTGCCCACTCGGCTCTTCCCTGGAGGGACCACGGACCACAAAAAAGCAGTATTAATTCAATAAACAAACATTTACTGCGTGCCTGAAATGTGCCATATACCATGCTAAGTGGTGGGATATAAAATCCAAAACCCAAATTCATGGTCAGGTTGAAACTCAGGTTAACTTTTAACTCTTCATTCATGCTCGCTGCTACCAAATCCCTTTAAGTAAATTTATATGGGGAAATAATTAATGATATTTTATGAAGCTGCATTTACGATATGTAAGTCAGGTTGTATTGTAAGGGCTATCAGTGCTAGGCTGGAACTGATGACAGTGGCTGGCAAGCTGCATGTGAGATCAGTCCCACTAAAGTACCAGTAAAGATGAGGAAGGCACGATAATACACAAAACAGCTACCCTCCCCAATTTCTTCCTAGTTTTCTGTGATCCCTTAATATTAATTTAGACAAACTTCATATCACTGAGCCACTTAATTTGATTGCCTTAAACAAATATTCTGAATTCACTCAAAGCCTAGTACTTTTCCTCTCTATCGTGCCCACTGAAGCAGTCTTTATGATTAAAGCCTCTTTAATACGGGATTTGGCTTCGATTTTCAATGTTAATTAAAATGGTGCAAGTGAGTTCTTCTGAAGGTAGTAGAGTTCACATTATGAAAAGAACAACTTTTTCTTTTCATCCGGAGATAGAATTATAGATTATATAGTTACATCCCCCAAAATCCTAATGTTCTATTAAATCCACTAGAAAGACAATGCTTGTGCCATTTTCTTTTGATATGACTAGGCCCCATAAGAAAATACACTTGATCAAATTACAGATTTATGTGTAATTCATATTTAATATTACACGAATGCTTAGACTAAATTACTAGAAACCTGCCAAGAAATTTCCAAGACCGCAATTAGACTTTAATCACTTTAAATCTATTAATAGTTTCCTCAAGAAATCATAAAGTGATAAAAACCAGAATACATATTAACTGTTGTTCAAGGGGTGAAGAGGACTAAAGATTCTTAAACTTTTTATTTAAAGATAATTATAGATTCACACGCAGCTGTAAGAAATAACAGAGAGACCCTGTGTACCCTTAACGCGGTTTCCCCCAATAGTAACATCTTGCAAAAACTACACTACTAGGTCACTAAATATGAAATGTCTGATTTTGAATCAAAAATGTAGTTTATTATATCTCAAACAAGAAGCAGTACAATTAATCAAAGTATGTGCCTAAACTATCGACACAGTTTTGCCATCTCAGGTCGCCCACGTGGCTCATTTTCAAGATTAAAATCACTAGAATGGAACTTCTCAAACCATCGACGTACTGTGCGTTCATTAGCCACATCCTTCCCAAACACTTTGTTGATATTTTGAGCTGTCTGTGCTGCATTGGTTCCACGATGGAACTCATATTCAAAAATAACATGAAGTTTTGACTTATCCATGGTTTCACAATTGCTCTAAAGAAAATTTGAAAGATAAACATAAGCCAAAATGTGTTTGAAAAACTGAGGGTGTACCTTCACAATAAAAATAAAACAAGAAGTGTCAAACTGAAATGTCAGAGATATCAACTGTAAAACTTAGTACTTAAGGAAATCAGATATTTCATACTTATTAATAATAACCTAATACAATACCACAACCAGGATATTGACATTGATACAGTCAAGACACAGAACATTTCCATCACCACAAAGAATCTCTCACACTGCTCTTTTAAAGCTATACCTACTTCCCTCCCATTATGACCCCTGGAAACCACTACTCTGTCTTCAATTTCTATAATTCTGTCATTTCAATAATGTTGTTAAAGATGGAACCATACAGTACCATATATGGAACTTTTGGGACTGTCTTTTTCACTTAGCACAAATCTCTGGAGATTCATGCAGGTTGTATGTGTATCAACTACTTAGAATACTAAGTAGTATTCTATGGCATGGATGTACCGGAGTTTAACAGTTTACCTACTCAAGGACATCTGGTTGTTTCCAGTTTTGGGCTATTATGTTAAAGCTTCTACAAATATTTGTGTACAGGGTTTTATGTAAATATAAATCTTCATTTCTCTGGGATAAATAGTCAGGAGTGCACGTACTGGGTCATATGGAGGCCTACAGATTTTGACTGAGACTGTTGAGTGTGAATGCGCCTATCTCTCCCATGCAAAAAAGATGTAAGGTCATTTTTCCAGTCATTTGTCTGGTGTCAGGTTATTTATGGAAGAAGACATTGTACAACCAAGCATGTGGAAGGGCACAGGTGGATGCCCTGGTGTTAACAAAGGGGGTGTTTAATAAGAACCATTCTATAAGCAGAGTTAGAGGCACTAATAAGAGTGTAAACAGTGAACTAGTATCTGCCAAGATTCACTGAGGGCTGAGTGTGTTCCTCCATGAACGAATGTGAAAGCTAAGCATAATGAAGGCTGTTTTTAGAGGTGGAGAAAGTAGGAAAGGGAGAGATGTGGCCGTCTGACTCTCCTGAAACAGGGAACTCTAGGAATGTACCATAGAGGCGGTTTTTCCTATTGTCAGATGCTGTTAAGAGGGCTTGGCTACTCCACCCAGAATGTGTCTGGAGCTGGACTGCCTGGCTTTGAACCCCAGCTCAGCTACTTACTAGCTATATGACTTAGCACTCAAAAAAGAATAGTTATTATCCTTCCTAGGCTGGGTGCAGTTCTGGAGAGACACTGCTCTCCTATACTGAAGAAAGCTTGCATAGAACATTGATCTCCTGCTAACAGAGCCGCTTCTGGCAATGGGGTGACATCTACTGGAGAGTAAAAACCTTCAAGAAAGAAAAAAAGAACGGGTTCCTGGCAGAGGAAAAAACCATAGGGCCCAGTACAAGAACAGTCAGTATGGAAAT